AGCTTTCTAGACAACAAATTGGCTGGTTAGGGGATGTGGGACTACAACCTTTGTGAGGTGGAAATCCTGTAGTAATCAATGTTCAGAAGGAGGGAGTTAGAAAGATTAATTCAAAGTAAAGGGGTGTGTGTAGTGGCCGACCATAGATGAGAAAAGGAGAGAATTTAATTTCAGAATTTTGGTTGTTGATTAAAGGAGGGAAATCAATTAGAAATTTTGGAATTTAATTCCTGCTTTAAATGGTGGAGATGATTGGGAAATTTAAATTTGAATTTCCCCAAAATTTAAGAGAGGGGGAGGAACTCACTTAGATGGGGAATTGATGGGTTGATTGGGGAGTTTTAATGAGGCTAATAATTAGATGAAAGAGGGAGAGAGAAGGGGCGGCCAAGAGGGGAAGGGAGGGGTCTACATGATTTAATGTAGATTTTAGGGAATTATTTGGTTTGATTGAGTTGCTAATCTAAGCAAATTAAATTATGAAAGAGATTTTAAATCAAATATCTCTCTAATTTACTGATCAATTCAAATAGGTTTTGATTGGAGGGATTTCAAAAAATAACTTATCTTAATTAAGAAGGAATTTCAAATTCAAAAACTTTCAAATTTGAATTAGGGAACCTTCCAAATTAACCATGGGATAAATTTGGCAAGTAGTGAATCCTAGTTTCAATTTCGGATCCAAGGGGAAGGAGGATGGCCTTCGGCTTTAGGGAGGGAGTATGGGCCGGTGGTTGGTTGGGTGGACCTTGGGCTTTGGTATGAAATTTCAGCCAAGGGAGTCGATGTCATGACCCGACCCGGTAAGTTCGCATAGGCGAGGTGGGAACGAAAGTTTGACGGTAAAATTCAAAACATTTTAGTAACATATCTAAAACATATCCAAATATAGAGAAAGAGCCATTAAAAATTTCAAGTAAATTTTTTTTCTTTTCTTCTATCATTCAAAAATAAAAATGTACATAAAAGTTCATTACATAGATGGATGTCTAAAAATCTACCTATCACATCCTATCATGCGCATCCATCTAATACAAAGCATTCAAATACCAAAAAAGGAACCTATCACCTATTGTCTCTCTATAACGGTAAGTATATGACTGTTTATTCGTCATTAACGATTAACAGGTTTTCCTGAAAATGTTTCATAAGTTGGGTGAGTCACAACTCAATAAGTAAGATGCTATTTAATAAAATTCAGAAGCAAGATAAAGAGTTCAACATATATGTCAATTTTTCTAATTAAAAGAACGATGAACTTGCCATGATATATTAACTTGAGTACCTATATGTTCTTTTTCTTTGCATAATCTTGCAAAATTTTTCATTATATATTTTTATGTTTCATTTGATGCTTCATATACTTATAACATAATAACATAATAACATATTCTTATTCACCAGTCACGGAAGTATCATTTTATTTTGTACGGATCAGGTACACTTTTAATTGGTCATTCCTTTATCATTTGCTCTGAAGAGCACATTTACTATTGGCTCCGAAAAGCACTTTACCATTTGATACTTCACATCAACATACACATTCAACCATTCTATATGTATTCATAAAAAGGATATTAACACATCATTTATGCATATGTTCTAATGCTCCTATATTTTTCTACACTATTACTTATTAAAGGAGACGTGCTTTGTAAACTATCCACAATTATCACATGAGGAAGTCACATTTGCATCAATATATTCAAATGTATACTAGGTATTCACAAGAACAAAAAATATGATATTTAAAAACATGCTAAGCTATATAATAAATGTACAATTGCATTTAAAAGCTTAATAGGCTAATCACAAGATATTAGAAAAACATGCTATCATTTGGAAAGAAAAGAATTTTCTGAAATTAAAAGAACCACATTTTACCTACCTCACCATTGTGCGAAATTTGCTCTTTGCACTATCGAGACCTTTCCTCTACCACTTCCAATATCTCTATTGTCACATGCTTCCGTCACATACTTAATCCCTAATTCCCTAATTCATAAGAACCTATACATATGTTTTCTTAAATTACCTAAATCAACCCTTTACCATTTAAAATTTAATTAAATTTACTTTATATTTTCGGATTTCCTCAAATCCATAATTTTTGGAAACCTTCTTTTTATTAATTTCATGATATATGCATATAAAAACCTTCCTTACATTTAATTATTATTTAAAATACAAGTATTTTCGGATTTATTTGAATTAAAAATTAGAAAAATAAAAATTTGTGCAAAAACCCTAATTCTCACCATTAAAATCCTTCCTAAGTCTATTTGAAACAATAATACTTAAGAATTTTTCATGATTAGGAAAAGCCCTAATTTTTGAAACATGAAAATTTTTCATAAAAAATTATTTAACTTCCACAAGAAGCCTTCTTCTATCATTAGGATTCACTTTTGCAAAAGCATTTTGAAAGGAAAAAGAAATTGGAAGAAACCCTAATTTTTAAAATCCAAAATTTTCGGGGAAAACTAGAAATTCCATGGTTAGAAACCTTCTTTACTCTTTACCAATCATTCTTCTTCTAAAATTTGATGTTTTGGGTAAACCCTTAAATTTTAACCCAAAGAAATCTAAGGAAAATGAAGGGATTTTGATGTTTGGAACTTATGTTACACTTCCTTAGACTTTCTCCTTCAATTTCCCTCCAAAAAGCTTGCCGGAAACCGCCAGTTGATGCCTCTCTTCTATTCGGCCAAAGAAACACAAAGGGACTGGATCATTCGGTCCCTTAGGGATTTATGGGCGGGTGTGGGGAAAAATGACGCATGTACCCTCCTATAAATTTTCCTCAAGGGCTTGGAGGGCTATTTAGACATTTGGATTTTATTTTTACTGAAACAACCTTCATCAATTTTTAACTTTAAATTTATGCGAAATTAGGTATAAGTTCTTTATATTGTGTCGATCAAAATTTTGCATAGAATTTAATAAAATTAATTGCGTCAAATTCCGACTACTTCGAAATTTTGCCTAATTTCATCATGGCGCATCGAAATGCGTGCGACGCCTACGATTGATATTTTTTTGATTTTACAACAGAGGGGTAGGAGAGGTGGCGGCTCGGATTGGGGATGAGAGAGGGATCAGCTAAGGCCAAGGCTGGTGGTGGCCGGTGGCTTGGAGGGGGGACGAGGAGGTGGCAGTTAGGAGAAATGAGGAGACGATGGTGGAGGAGATGGACCAGAAGCCTGAGCGTTTCCTATAGTTGATGGGTAGTACGTTGCCCACACATAGGGCCTTCCAACTCTCACAAAAGCTTTCTCAACTCACCCAGAAACAAGTGCAGGAAATTTTCATAATAATATTCATCATCCTCCAATGAAGAGGGGGTTATAAATAGCCAAAATACAATTGTAAATCCAAAAGACAAAAGTGCCCCCTAGGGTCACATGATCCTACTCCTTCAAGTGAGGGTAAAATCGAAAAAGATACAATAATAAATCAAATACAAATAATAGCTCAAAAATAAAGTGGTGTAATCAGCGTCATAGATCGCCGGCCTCTTCTATGTTAAACTCTCTACTGTCGGATGTCCTCATCACAAATTTTTAGAGCAGACACCACTAATATATTGCTAAATGCTCTGACTTTGTACAATGTTTTATCTTATTGATTTTTTTGATTAAAAAAAAAATCCCAGAAAACACTTCTTCAAAGTTGGTCCATAAATTTTAAAAGAAAAAAACACAAAAATTCATAAAGAACACAATAAAACTAAATATAGTACACCTAAGCATTAAACTCTTGCCAAAAGAAAATACACCACCTAAATAATTTTTTTGTGATAGGTGTCATTTGCACATCAATAGCTTGGCACCAATTGATACCTGCTCAATGATGATGTAGCTCCAACTTACACGCCAATTGTCATTCGATGGTTGCTGTGATGGCATGTCTTTTGATCCTCTTGTTGCGTACTTCAAACTCAACTTAGATGTCAAGTGTTTTAGCCTCCTCCAATGATTGCCATATGCCATCAAAGCACAGCTTCGCACATTCTTCTTAGTAATGTTATTACTTGCATCACAACATACATGCCGGTTTGTCGCTTGCATGTTTGTATGCAGCATTTTCATTTTCATTTTAATTTCTACTTGCAACTTTGTTGCCTGATCTTTCGCCAACATTATCACCTGCAGTACAAAATGAAACTTTCCTACCCAGTTAGCCATTCATGTTGTTTGTACAACTTCATCCAACTTCATTGCCCACTCCTCTCTCAGCATAGTTGCTTTCACCTCTTCATGCCTAGCGCCCGCTCTTTAGTTGCATTGGTCTTCTGCACCACTTCATGCTGCTTCTTTTCCTGTTTCTCTATTTATAAGACATTCTTACAACCCACAACAAATTGCTTTTTAATGTCTAATGCTCCTGCTGCTTTTTAATACGAAGGTAACGCGTTCTTTCATTTTCTTCTCACCGCTACATACAAAGGGAGTTACTGATATAAGGCATCGGTACCCATTTTAGGTCTGCTTTTTTATATCAAAATTTAAATTTTGATATATTGATTAAAAAAATGGAGATGTATGTTAGGATAATTTTCTTGATTTTTGGTTAAAATTGGATGGTTTTTAGATAAGTTTAAGATCAACTAGCCAATGTTGATGAGCTGGTTTTTTAGATCGATTATTCAACTGTTCTTGCGGTCAGAATGTCAGATTGGTTCTTGATCAGTTTGTTTGATCAATCTATTCTTGGAAGTCGGAGACTTCCATTTGGTCATGGATTCCTTCTCGTACAATTCGTTGATGGTTTCCCGCTAAGGGAAGGCAATGCATAATTTTCATTGTCATATCTGTGCATGCATTTTCAAATGCTGTTTGTGTAGGAGGCACTTCATTTGGCATCATTAGAGTTAAACAACGTGAATATTATTACTCTAATTTCTGGCATTTATGTTGTAACTTTTAACAGCTTACTATGGTGGTTCCTAGAGCTATTGTTTCCTTCAAATAATATCTGACATTGTTCTGTAATTGCAGGCACTAGTGTTAGACGTATGTGATGAAACAAATATTGCTGAGTTAAAAGTGAAGGTAAAGTTCATGTCTGTTAATTTTCAAAATTGTTTTTTGCCAATTTCTGTAGAAATCTTCTTAGCACTTGTTAGATTAGGAATTTTGTTATGAAACAAGTGCAGGAATCATCCAAATAATGGCTGAAATTGGGAATTTCAGCAAGAACATGGAAGTTTTTGAAGAAATCTCTTGACAAAATAATAGGAAAACTTGATAACTGAAGAAAAGTGGAAGGAAATAATGAAGATAAAATGGATCTTCAATTTGAGAGGAAGATCCGGCTCTCCAATTCTCTAACCGACGGTTAGAGCCCAAAACCTAAGAAGAAATTCAGAAAAACACCAACAATTGCATAATCCCTAACCCTAATCTCTTCCCTCCTATTAGAGAATACAAAATAAGAGCCAAAAGACTAAACAACCCTCCCCAATTTGTATGAATTTTTATGTTTATCAAACTTTTAACTAGGCCAATAAATTTGATTTCAAAACAATTACTTCAAATGTTAGGTATTTTAAATCATTAAGTAAAGGATGTCTGTTCTTTCTTATGTTTAGTATCTAACCTTATAATTGCAAAATATGACAGACATTTTTATTTCTATTTTTTATATTGTAGAAGATAACATAGAGTGTTGGTTTTCATTTTAAACTTTATGATTAAAATGTAATCTGCTGGAAAATAACAATTTCCTTGTTTTAGGATCAATCCTTAGTTTTCTTTATTTGGAAGTCATTTTAGACATTGGCTAAAGTTTGTTCTTTATTTTAAAATCCATGAAAGTCTTAGCAAAAGGATTTGACCTTTAGGAATTTCAAGGAGTAATTGATCAACTAAGGATTAGATTTTGGGAATGAAAGCCAAAGGAGATGAAGTAGGAGCACTTGATTCTGAGGGAAACTCAGAGGTGCTCGGACTATCCTATGTTGGGCTTTACATTTTTTGTATCTAAATTTAGTTTGAGTTGATATTTTATTAGAAGATTGGGGCTTACATCCCAACAACACTTGTTGGAGGAATTGCCCGAAAGTTGAGGGCTTATAGGGTGATTTGGAATCAACCCGTGCCTCGGACCCTAAGACTAAGGTGAGGACTACCGAGAGGTAGTGCCTCGAACCTAGATCTAACGAGTGCAAAGAGGGACTTACAAGCTACACCTCACAAGAGGCATAACCCGCCCGACCTCTGGATTTATTGTCCCGCCTGGAAGGGACTACCAGCTAACCCTCCTAATCGCTTTTAAAACCATGTTATTCGGTCTCAATGCAAATGTAGAGTGATAGGGTTGTTTTTATTTATAAGGTAAGGCTTATAGCTTGGCTTTGAGGCCAAGATGCCTAAGTATGTATGGTATGCAAATGCTGACTCACAAAGAAAAAGACTTTTGTTATCTAGTCCTTAAGTGGAGGCATTCTACATGCAACATGCTTGGGCTATGCATGATTATTTTCAATTTTGAAAACTTGGCTCCTTGAAGGGAGCCATGCAAGACTTTCTTACTTATTAGAAAATCGTGGAGCCTAAATCAATTTTTAGATTGATTACATTTTAATGGGTAGAAATCTTATTTTTGTCCTAAGAGCCTACCGCATCAAAAGTCCAAGCCATTCCCAAGCAAAAGCAAAGAAAGAAACCTAGGAAAGAGATGCATTTCTATTGCACAACCAGGTAAACAATCAAAGCATGCTTTTATTTATATCAAATGAAAGGAAATGTAAAGAGTCCACATTATTACAACCAGATTTGGCAGCTGAGTTGCCTGCCATTATACAACCCAGTCAAATTAATTACAGACTCTACTTGTGGGGTCTTCAAGCTTTACAAAAGTTCTTTGGGCTTCATCTTCTTTACTCCCTTCCTTTGCTCCAAACCCCCACAAGTTTTACATCCTAATTCTATCAAATACATATTTGAAAAGAAAAAGACTCAAACCTGCAGTGGATTAGAAGCAATTTATATGATAAAGCATTACATCCAGAATTTTGTTTAGCACTTAGGGTGCCAAACAATCTACTTCTACCCTATTGGCCACATCTTTGGGGGGTTTTAAGCAGTACCTGTCATGCAAGCAATTTATAATTTATAAGCGCCCCCCTTTTAGATATGGCCACCTGCACAGAAAAGCATTTATATCTCTATACTAACCACTTAAGGGCAAGTGCCCACACGCAGACAATCCAAGGGCAATCAATCCACAACATCAAACACATGCGCAGAAAAGAAAAATCCTAATCCTAGCATGCCTAAGGGGCTGTGATAAGCTACAGTCC